TCCACATCAAAAAAAATCTTAAAAAAAAAAAACTACAATGAGATTATCCTCTCACACCCATTCGGATGGCCACTATAAAAAAAAAAAAGAAAGAAAGAAAATAAGTGTTGGAGAAGATGTGGAGAAATTGAAACCCTTATGCTTGGCTGGTAGAAATGTAAAATGGTGCAGCTGCTATGGAAAACAGAATGGTGATTGCTCAAAAAATTAAACATAGAATTACAATATGATCCAACAATTCTACTTCTGAGCACATACCCAAAAGAAGTAACAACAGGGACTAGAACAAATATTTGTACACCCATGTTCATGGCAGCACTATTTGGCAATAGCCAAAAGGTGGAAGCAACCAAAGTGCCCATCAACAGATGAATGGATAAATGAAATGTAGTATATGCATACAACAGAATATTATTCAGCCTTAAAAAAAGGAAATTCTGTCATGCTACAACATGGATGAACTTTCAGGACATTATGTTAAGTGAAATAAGCCAGACACAAAAGAACAAACACTGTATGATTCCACTTATATGAGGTACCTAGAGTAGTCAAAATCATAAAGACAGAAGGAATGGTGGTTGCCCAGGGCTGGGTAGAGTGGGGCATAGGGATTTATCTTTTAATACGTACAGAGTTTCAGTTTTTGAAGATGAAAAGAGTTCTTTGGATGATGGTGGTGATGGCAGCACAACAATGTGAATGTACTTAATACCACTGAACTGTACACTTAAAATTGGTTGAAATGGTAAATTATGTTATGCGTATTCTACTACAATTTTTTTTAAATCCAGTGTGGCTTTCTGCAATTTATACTACTATCAAAGAAAAGTAAAAATTATTACCAATGTCAAAACAGCTCATAAAACCATAAAAAAGCCCCAGCGCACTGCTCAAATGTCCAGTTCTTCTGCTAGATCTACTCAGCAATAGCAGTGTTTCAGTTTACTCCTCCTTCCCAAACCCATCCTTGGAAAAGGGTAAAAACTGGTCAAAAAGACAGAAAGAGGAAAAAGTAAGGGGAGATTAATGAGAATGTTTCAGGAATACTACTTCTCGGTGGTTCAATTTTCCTGTCTGCAAAATGGGGGAATAATAGTGCCTACCTTTTCAAAGGGCTGTCGTAAGGATTTAGCAAGTTCACACATATAAAGTATTTAAGAGTGCTTACCACATGGTAAGTGCCCTATAAATGTTCCCTATCAATATTATTGCTCGAGAAATCTCAACATTTTTGTTTCAACTACAACTTATATTTCAGCTCCCTCTCCTGAACACCAAATATCCAGCTGCAAAAACAAAAACCAACAACAATAAAAAAACACCAAACAAACAGAAAAACCCCAAAAACTCCAGCTAGATTTTCTCAGTGAAGAACACTGCTATTAACTCAGTCATCCTAGGCTGACCTGGGACAAGCTGTTAGACTCTTCCCTCTTCCTCATCCTTAACATCTAATCTCTCATCAAGCTCTGTAGACAATTTCCTCAATACCTCTTGCAACCATCCCTTCTTCTTTAATCACACTGTCCATCTCCCACTTAGTACAGGCCTTCATCACTTCTTCCAGGATTACTTTAGTTTCTGACTGGCCTTGGGGACTCTAATCTCAGCCCTCTCTGACTGACCCATCTGTTACATCCACCCTTGTTACAGGGATCTATTAAAACAAAAATCTATGTTTTTTGTTTACTATGTGGATTGGACTTTTTTTTTTTACTTTTTTATACTTTCAAATTAAAATTTTTAAATTTCAATTTTAAAATGAGAGAAGGAACAAAGTGTTCCCCTGATCAATGGTGGCTGGAAGCAGGGAGAGCAATACAAGGATTGCAAAAGGGCGCAAAGAAATTTTGGGGAGTGACGGATATGTGCGTTATTTTTATTATGATTATGACTTTTCGGGTGTATACCTGTGTCAAAACTTATCAAATTATACAATTAAATAAGTGTGATTTACTGTACGTCAATTATTCCTCAATTTTAAAAATTTAAATAAGAAAAATAACAAGAGTAAATGCATCAAAAAAACCTTTAAAAATAAATCTTCCCTTCGTTTAAAATACTTCAGTGGCTGCCCTCTGCCTCAAGATAAATCTCCAACCCCTAACTATGACATGCAAGGCAATGTCTCCTCTACTGCCATTTCCCCACAAGTGCCCCTGAGTCCAGCCAGAGAGATTTACTTAGAGCGCCTTTGTTGTCTAGCATAGTAGCATAAGCTAATGCTTCTCCTCTATTTCCTTTCCCCTATTCCCCATCTAATGCTCCCTCCTTTAGTTTAAGTATCTAAATGCTTGTCCTCAGGCTGGGTTAGGTGCCTTTCTACTCTGCTACCACAGCACCTTTCTACTCTGCTACCACTCTGCTGTCACAGCATTTCAAGAATTGTTATCAGTAGTTTTCTTTTCTGTCTCTGCTATTAGATTATAAACATGAGAATAAGTTCTATGTTTTTCATCCTCAGTCCCTTGGAGAATTGCTTGAATGCAGTGAACACTCAAAATAGTCGCTGAATTAAAAGGAAGGGAAAACAAGCATTTAAAATGTCATTTGTATCAACTGATTCTCAGATCAACCCTATCAAACTTACCCTTAAGAAAATCTGAGGCTCAGAGAAGTTAGGTGATTTGCTCAAGGCTATACCCATAGTAAGTAATGGGGCCAAGCTTTCAAACAAGGTTCTTCCGACACCTAGACAGGTGCATTTTCCTTTATTTGTGAATTCCTCACAGTGCCTAACCCTAATGCCTCTTCAGCATAGGTGATCAATAAATATCTGCTACTTCCATGTTTACTGTAACTCTCTAGTCCTAAGGGAGTTTCTGTTGCTTTGTCACACATTACAACATATGATAAGAAGACTTCAAAGAATTACAGTATACCGTATAAAGTGAAAGTGACTTTCCTTACCTAATCTTGCTTTCTACCTAAAAAGATGAATAGAAAGGGATAAATGGGGGGTAGAAAAAGATTCAACTAATAGAAGGCAGTTAGAAAGGTGGTTTCACTGGATGCTACCAACCAAGAAGAAAAGATCCTGTAACCATCCACATGCTCAGCAGCATGCTCAGCTGGGGAAGTCACTAACTTCCAAGACAAGTCAAGGTATTCATTTCGGATCTACAGCCCAATAAAATTCTCACCTTTCCCCCCAAAAGTATCTATCTTAAAAACACCTAGGATGGGACTTCCCTGGTAGCACAGTGGTTAAGAATCTGCCTGCCAATGCAGGGGACATGGGTTCGATCCCTCGTCTGGGAAGATCCCACAGGCCGCAGAGCAACTAAGCCTGTGCACCACAACTACAGAGCCTGTGCTCTAGAGCCCATGAGCCACAACTACTGAGCCCACATGCCACAACTACTGAAGCGCGAGCACCTAGAGCCTGTGCTCAGCAACAAGAGAAGCCACTGTAGTGACAAGCCTGTGCATCACAACGAAGAGTAGCCCCTGCTCACAACTAGAGAAAGCCCGCACGCAGCAACAAAGACCCAACGCAGCCAAAAATAAATTAATTAATTAAAAAAAAATACATCTAGGAGGGGGACTTCCCTGGTGGTCCAGTGGTTAAGAATTCACCTTCCAATGCAGGGGACACAGGTTCAATTCCTGGTCAAGGAACTAAGATCCCACACGCAGCAGGGCAACTAAGCCCATGCGCCGCAGCTACTGAGTATGCGAGCCACAACTAGAGAGAAGCCTGCGCACCGCAACTAAGACCCAACACAGCCAAAAAAATAATAATAAAAATAAATAAATATTTTTTTAAAAAACAAAACACTTAGGAGGGAATTCCCTGGTGGTCCAGTGGTTAGCACTCTGCGCTTCCACTGCCAGGGGCCTGGGTTCGATTCCTGGTCAGGGAACTAAGACCCCACAGGCCGAGCACCATGGCCAAAAAAAACCACTTAGGACATCCTAGTTGCCATTTCCTCAGCAGTCCTCAGATCTGAATCAGTTCCTGCCCTGGCATCAACAATTACTTCACCAAGTTACTTTCTGTAGGTTACAGGGGCTACTCTTCAAAAAAACTTTTACTACACAACAACAGAGGGCACTGCACTTTGCTAGGCTGACAAGGAATACAAGAAGTAAAATCACAGGCCGTGTATGCCACATATAAAAAGATTAGACACAAATATTTCTAATATCAGAACTCAAAAGAAAGCTAGAGGCAGGAATACACAGTGTCTGCTATGAAAAACAATCTCCTTGACCCAGTTTTTTAAAGACTTGATAAAATTATAAACTCTACTATCCCTCCATGATTAGGAGCCAAGCTCTGTATCCTCCTAACTCTTGTTCTCTTTAATTTCTATAAGTCAGAGTCGGCTAGAAGTTCAGGACTGAATCACAAGAGGTGCAGCAGCTTCCCATATGGGCGTTTAGTCGAGTAGTTCTTCATCACTTATTTCATTCCTTCAACAAATCTTTACTGAACACCTATGATGTGCCAGACACTGCTAGACAGAGTGAAAACGACAGACATGACCCCAGTTCTCGTGCAGCTTTCACTCTAATAGCATATAAGAGTGTTCCACTTAACTATAGAGTTAATAGCTGATCTACTATCTCTGAAACAAACCCAAAGAACCTCAGAATCCCAAAGACTTGCAGATTTACGTCCTCGCTTTGCCCATTGGAACTCTGAAGCCCAAAAGTGACTTGCCCAAGGTCACCCTGAGCGTTAGTGACAGAACAGGAACTAGAACCCGGGTCTCCCGAAACTACAATCAGTGCCCCACGCGCTGCCTCTCTCCCTGAGGGGAAGCAGTCGCAGGTGGTGACCAAGGAAAAGCAAGCTTCGTCAAATTTATATCTGACGTCAGTCTCACGCCTTCTCCAAAGAGGGGGAAGCCACGGCCAAACCGAGGGTCGTGGGAGGTGGGAAACTCCCTCAGTTTCCCCGAAGAGATGCGGCCGCGCAGCCTCGCTACCGCACAGGCTCCGCTCCTGCACTTCCGTCCAGTTGCTCCCGCCCCTCCCTCTCCGACTCCAACCCGGAGGCCCGGTGGGCGACACCACAAAATTACTCCTTCACTCACAAGGACTCGCACCAGCAACGCCATGTTTCTCGACAACCATTTCCGGGTGAAAGGTGGGCTTCCGGAGTCCCCGCTGCCACCACCCCTCCCCTAGGTCGTCTTTTCGCCGGCGGATGCCCGGCAACGGCGGCGCAGGCGCACAGAGGTCGCTGCGCACACGAGCTCACGCTTTCACTGCTGTGCGCGAGGAGGCAGGGCCTGGGACGCGGCCGGAAGGTCGGGACGCGCGCGCGCCTCCCGCTCTCCCTAGTCTCCGCCAGACACGTCACAGAGGCTCAGGTCATCACAACACCTGTCCTCTTTGACCTCTGCCTCGGGCTTTTCATAGCTCTTTCATTAACCCACCTCACCCAGCCTCAGTCTTCAGCACCACCTTGTCGGAGTCCCTCTTTCCCAGACTCTGTCCCCACAAGGATTCCCCCCTTTTCACCGACGGTTGAAAAGAACAGAATCCTGGGAGAATCCTAGCACTTCAGAACTCCCTAAGGGACTTCCCTGGTGGTGCAGTGATTAAGAACCCGCCTGCCAATGCAGGGGACGCAAGTTCGAGTCCTGGTCCTGGAAGATCCCACATGCCACGGAGCAACTAAGCCCGTGCGCCACAACTACTGAGCCTGCAAGCCGTAACTACTGAGCCCACGCTCCTAGAACCCGTGCTCCGCAACAAGAGAATCCACTGCAATGCAAAGCCCATGCACCGCAATGAAGAGCAGACCCTGCTCGCCACAACTAGAGAAAGCCCGCACGCAGCAATGAAGACCCAACCCAGCCAATTACTGAAAGAAAAAAAAAAGATTCTCTAAAACGAGCCTGAGAAAGAGTAGGAGGAAGAACAAAGGGCATGGCTGAGTCCTGAAATTCAGGGGAAGAGGGTGGTCACATGCTGACCTGAGACCCGAAGAAGGAACTTTAGGGGCTTCTGGTTGGTTGGTTGTGACTGGGAGCATCTTTGAGTACTGACAGGAAATTATTATAAAGATGAAGATACAGAAGAAAGAATCAAGGACGCAAAGAGTTTCCACAGGAGGTTGGGAGAGAATGGCCTTGGCTAGAACACCTCTTGCATTCATTGTATCCCAAGAACAGTAGAGGAGAGAAGGTGTCAGTGCTCCTGGGGTGACTGGGAGCAGAAGGGCAGGGTGCTGAAGGACTCCCTTCTCTTTCATTCAGTCAACATAGACCCACTGAATGGTCACTATGTGCAGTGAATGGTCACTATCCACAAGACAGGTGTGGATACTGGCTTCCTGGAGCTCATAGACCTGGGGGTGGGGGGGTAGAGGCTGGAGGTGCTGTGTCACAAAAGTCTAGTAAGCCGATGAAAAAAATAAAATAGTTAAAAATTGTGGTAAGTGCTATGAAGGGAACAACAAAGAGCTAAATTAGAGAATAACATGCGGGGACTTCCCTGGTGGCACAGTGGATAGGACCCTGCCCTCCCAATGCAGGGGGCCCAGGTTCGATCCCTGGTCAGGGAACTAGATCCCACATGCATGGCGCAACTAAGAGTTCACATGCCACAACTAAGGAGCCCGCCTGCATCAACTAAGACCCAGCGCAACCAAATTTAAAAAAATAATAATAATAACATGAGAAGGAAACTACGCTTTAGAAACTACCCTTTAGATGCTTTGCACTCAAGTGGACAGCTTATGTGTTTGGTATTGGAAACAGTGGTGTAGCGCTCCCACACATAAGTTAGGACAAGTTGCATCACATATTAAAAAGGGGGATTTCCCGGCTTCCCTGGTGGCGCAGTGGTTAAGAATCCGCCTGCCAATGCAGGGGATACGGGTTCGATCCCTGGTCCGGGAAGATCCCACATGCTGCGGAGCAACTAAGCCCGTGTGCCACAACTACTGAGCCTGCGCTCTAGAGCCTGTGAGCCACAACTACTGAAGCCTGCGCGCCTAGAGACCATGCTCTGCAACAAGAGAAGCCACTGCAATGAGAAGCCCGCGCACCACAACGAAGAGTAGTCCCCGCTCGCCGCCAACTAGAGAAAGCCCGTGCACAGCAACAAAGACCCAATGCAGCCAAATATAAATAAATTAATTAATTTATTTTAAAAAGGGGGGGCACTTCCCTTCCTACAGCTACTGAGCCTGTGCTCTAGAGCCCGCAAGCCACAACTACTGAGCCTGCGTGCCGCAACTACTGAAGCCCGTGCACCTAGAACCCGTGCTCCGCAACAAGACAAGCCACCGCAACAAGAAGCCCGCGCACCACAACGAAGAGTAGCCCCCGCTCGCTGCAACTGGAGAAAGCCCGCGGGCAGCAATGAAGACCCAATGCAGCCAAAAATAAATAAATTTATTTTTAAAAAAAACTACCTATCTATAAAAAAAGGGGGGGATAAGAGCAATATTCTTGTTAATCAGATTCAAGAAGCAAATGTGATACAAAAACTGTGCAAATTTAAGACCAAGTAAATAATTCACACAAGAGATGATGAACTAAGATGTTGGGGACAAGAGAAAAGACTGATATTTAATTTCCTTTCTGATGGCTTCTATTTTCTCTGTTAACTTGGCAGGAAAGTTTTTCTACTCAGAGGAAGGCAGATGGTATAAGATTATAGTTTAGAAGAAGGAGAAAGTTTAAAGTTTAACAGAGAATGAAAGAAAAAGGGGCCAGTGAAATATGGAGAATCTAGTTGAAGCTGGTAACTCTCCACTTTATAAATTTTAATTTATTAATTAATTTTAAATTAAAAAGTGATTTATGATTACACTGTATTTTCTAAAAATTAGCATGTTACAGATAAAGCTAAAGTCCCTTTTTACCATCACCTTGAATCCCAACCTTCCACCCTCTCTAAAATTGAATTTCCTTTCAGATCTTTTTTAATGCTTTCATATACATATACATGTTCCCTTAGAAAATATGTCTTTCTGGTTGGTGTGGGGTTTCATTTTTTTCCTTTTTTTTTAACTTAATTGACAGCATAGTTTTGTTTTATTTTGCTGCTTCCTTCTTTTTGCTAGTTTCTTTTTAAAATTCTATATATGTTGCTCTACATAGACCCAGTTCATTTCCTTTTAACAGCTGTTCTATCATATGATATATATGGCATATAGTTTGTTTCTTTTTGTTGTTGTTCTTATGACCAATGTTTCCATGAATATCCTTATACACTTAAGAGCAAAAATTTTAATGGCATCAATCTATTTCTGTGTGATTTTTCTTCAAAATCATTAGCTAACTTGGGATTAGCAGAGGAGAGAGCTGATAGCTGGAGTCAATAAAGGATTGTTTTTCCAGGCCATGGAATAGATGTCACCAGTGCAAAGATGGTGATGATATTGTCAAGAAAAAGTTTCAAGGGCATTCCCTGGCAGTCCAGTGGTTAGGACTTGGTGCTTTCACTGCCGGGGGTCTGGGTTCAATCCCTGGTTGGGGAACTAAGATCCTGCAAGCCGTGTGGCGCAGCCAAAAAAAAAAAAGAAATGTGAATGAAATGAGAGAGTGACCCATGTAAATATCTTGGAAAAGAGCATGCTGGGCAGAGAGAACACAAGTGCAAAGGTCCCAACATGAGAGAATGCTTGGTGTTTCCAAGGAAGAGAAAGGAGGTTATCACGGCCTAGAGCCAAATGAATAAGGAAGAGTATGGTAAGAGATGAGGTTGACAACCTGGCCCTAGAGGCCAGATCATGGGGGAGCTTGTTGGCCATGGTAAAGACTTTGGATCCTATTCTAAGTATGTGCTAGTGTTGCTGTAGAAAATCACTGGAAGGAAACACAAGAAACTGGTGGTAATAGTGGTTATGATGGTTGATTCTGAAGAAGAGGGCTGGGAGACTAGGAAGTTAGGTCTGGAAAGGAGACATATTTTTTTCACTATATATCCTTTTGCGTTGTTTGGAGTTTGTACTGTATCTATATAATTACCTTTAAAATTGAAAGAAAAGGGAATTCCCTGATAGTCCAATGGTTAGGACTCTGAGCTTCCACTGCCAGGGGCCCGGGTTTGATCCCTGGTCAGTGAACTAAGATCTTGCAAGCAGTGCAGTGCGGCTGAAAAAATAATAATAATAAAATAAAATAAAATTGAAAGAAAAATATCCATATCACTCTCAAAACCTTATTCTGAAAAAAAAAAGTTTACTCATTGGTTTTATGGAAAATACAAAGAAGTAGAACTTGGTCCTTGCCCTCAGGCATATTACAGCTGTGGAGGTATAATACATATTCACAAAAATTTTAAAAGACAATGCAAAAGAATGAAGTTGGACTCCTATTTCACACCATATGGACAATTAACTCAAAATGGATCACAGATCCAAATATAAAAGCTAAACTATAAAGCTCTTAGAAGAAAACATAAGAGTAAATATTTGTGACCTTGTTTTAGGCAAAGCCTTCTTAGATAAAACATCGAAAGTACAAATAACAAAAGAAAAAAATAGATAAATTGGACTACATAAAAATTTAAACTTTTATGTTGCAAAAGATACCATCAAGAAAGCGAAAAGGTATAGAATGGGAGAAAATATTTGTAAATCACATATCTGATAAGGGACTTGTATGCAGAATATCCAAAGAAGTCTACAACTCAGTAATTAAAAAAAACACCCAGTCAAAAATGGGCAAAGGAGGGCTCCCCTGGTGGCGCAGTGGTTGAGAGTCCGCCTGCCGATGCAGGGGACACGGGTTCGTGCCCCGGTCCGGGAAGATCCCACATGCCGCAGAGTGGCTGTGCCCGTAAGCCATGGCCGCTGAGCCTGCGCATCCGGAGCCTGTTGCTCCGCAGCGGGAGAGGCCACAACAGTGAGAGGCCCGCGTACCGCAAAAAAAAAAAAAAAAAAATGGGCAAAGGATTTGAATAGACGTCTCTCAAAGAAGCTAATGAAAAGATGATCAACATTATTAGTCATTAGGGAAACACACACACACACACACACACACACACACACATACACACAATGAGATACCACTTCACATGCCCACTAGATGGCTATAATCAAGCAGACATGTAATACAAAGTGCTGACAAGGATGTGGAAAAACTGGATCCCTCATACATTGATGTATGTG